GGGGGGGAATTGTGGGGATCACATGTCGTCTCTAACAAAGTTTAAAGAGGTACTATAGAGGGAACATTAGGAACAACCAAAATCCTCCGCTTCCCCTCCCCCTCCACCTTATAGATAATGACCAGTCCACTAAGTGTCCACTGTGATAATGATTGGCAGTCACTTGAAACGAGATCACAAACTAACTCTGAACCTTACAGCTTGCATGTCATGGAAAGGTTCGATAAACGGTCAGATTGTAACGTTATTTATATCTCTCATGAAGAGAATCCATGTTTGTCTGGTGACTACATCACCCTCAGAGGAGCGAGCCGAGCTCAAGGCTTTAAAACGTCTAAAGGAGCTAAGTGTGACAGGGACATTTTCAATGAAGTGGAGGCTTGGTATCGCTTTGATGGCAAAGCAGGTTTCATGATGGCTGATAAATGTGTTCCCACCAAGCATTGCGGTACGAACGCACCTGGTTGGCTTCGTGGTGGTCATCCCGACGACCCCTCTGAAGGAGAGGTTGAAAGAACAGTTTGCTTTCACTGGAAAAAAGACTGCTGTGCATGGAAGACTCGAGTGAAAGTGCGAAATTGTGGAACATTTTTTATTTATTACTTGAAACAAGACCCGATGGTAGGCTGCAGCTTTCGTTATTGTGGCAATGGCAAGGGTGAGTAAAACTTATTTTGTGACATAACCAAAGTAAAGCGCGCTCTGATTGGTCAATTCAGTGTCCACCATTTGCCCATGAGTGTACGCTGCTGACGTACGCAAATGCAAAGACTAGTTTCCACGCGATTGTTTTTTCTGGTCACGTAAGATTTCAGAGTTAATAAATGGGAACTCTTTCTCTACATTGTATCAATGTTATGTTATAAAAAAGGTAAACATCAAAGCGTACACTATTGAGTTATGGATGCACTTATAAGGCTGCTAAGCACGAAAGAAGCGTAAGAGTCGCGAGAGACGATAGCCGAGAGGGATTATTGTGCCTAAGTGACAGGAATTCGTTTCTAAGCCGTCGTCGGCAAAAATGCCTTCGGATTCTTCCATAGTAGTGTAATTGGATAGGGTATCGCAATGAAGTCAAAAGATGGACGTGTGACAAGTTTTTCGGGAATGATTTGATGTACATATTTTAATACAGGTCCAACTCCAGGCCCAGAAAAGCCAACAACACAAGGTAAGTTAAATTATTCTTTTGAGGAATGCGTACAATTATCAATACCCGATGGAAACTTATTTCTCTGATACTATAAGATTGGAAACACTGCATAAATGACATTGTGCATATGACTATACAATGATAATTAGTTATTAGCAGGATTTGATAATTCAGTATTAGATGAGGATTTGATATGAATTAAAAGACGGTAGAAAGGAGGAAACTTTTAGATTTAAAGACTACCCTTTTGTCCTGAAGAGGTCGAACCGACCAAAAACCAACATGGCCTACCAATTTAAACCTGCTTCCTATTAGCATTAATAAAAGTAGAGCGATTTTAATGATAGTTACATTAATTTTTTTGTTTCAGTCTCCACTTCAGAAACGGAATCTCCAACACGTAAGTAAACCTGCGAAGTTGTGCATGATAAATTTATAACCATTTGGCCATGTCTTGTGGTCGGGCTCGTTTTTCGATAGGTTTCAAATCACAATTGAAGTTGGTCAAAATTTTAACCGTTAGCAGTAAAACCCATCACCCCATTAAGACTCTCCAAATATGGTATGGATCATGCTTCAAATTTCAAGTTCAAATCATGAACCATTCCAAAATGTTCAGCCTGGTTTTTCAACCAGCAAATTTGTCTTGGAAACAAATTACAGAAATTTGCATAAAATTGAGCATATCTCATGCTACCACCAATCCAAAGCTTTGTAATCTCATGCTACCACCGATCCAAAGCTTTGTAAACATGTCCAAATTTAGGAAGTCATTTCACCGATGGTGCAGTAACTTTTTAATCATATAGATCAAAAGCTTTATCTACTTACTTCTTTTCTCCATGCTCTTTCTTCTCACGTATTTCGCGGTCATACAACACAAAGAATGTTTCTGTGATGGTCTATGATGTTTTATTTACGAAATTTAGCACAGAGCTTCCTTGGCATTTTAGCTAATGATGAAGATTTCTATATTTATGGGAAACAAGGATTGAGGACAAATACTAACAGTACCTTTGTCTGCTAATGTGAGACATGTTTTATTTTTTAATAGGAATGATAACAACACCCCAAGGATCTCCAGGTGAGAAATCTGACGATTAACAACTTTAAATCCTTACAAGTGGGCCTCCTCGTTCACTCTACAACCCCCCCAAAAAAAAAAAAAAAAAAAACCAAACAAACAATCAAACAAACCTGTGTCCTCCTGGGAGAAGATGACTTACTCTCTTTCTGTGAATTAAGCATAGATCACTTGCAATTCTAGGATAAGAAACATCAGGAACGTGATTTCAAAGAGCGAGTTCCTGGATATAATCAAAATTATTTAGCAGGGACTAGATGTCTACATGCAGATGTCGCTCCATGCTAAGATGAGGATCCTAAATGCGGGTTTTTTCAAATTTATTGTTCTTTTAAGAGAAACAGTTCATTGACAAAGTTTAGCAAAAAATCCCGTGTTCCTTTTATATCGGAGAGGAATTGCTGTCCCAACACTTGTACTTAAGCCCTCTCTGAGGGAAACCCGGTGCTTGTTCTTGTGTTCTTTTTGCAACCAAGACCCTTACAGTGGTCGACTGAGGAATAAAGACTGTGTTCATCGAGATATCAGTACTGCCTGTGCCGGCTGACAGAATGACCTTGTTTTAATTTTTCTAGATGTCGACGTCGTTTGCGGAAAGAACGAGATGAAAATAAGCATTCCAAAGACCCTCCTTAAAGGCATAGACGTGGAGCATGTTCGTCTGTCTGATGTAAACTGTGGAGCCACTGAGAGCCCAAACGGCGATCGCTTTATTCTCCATACGGAATTGACTAAATGTGGCACAAAAAGCAGACACGCCAAGAATTTTGTAATTTACAAAAACAAGGTGGAGGAAATTCCCATTGAAAATGGTCAGATAATCACACGAATCCGCGAAGTGGAAATACCCTTCAGCTGTTGTTACTCAAACACAGGAGTCGTATCCGCTGTTGGTCTACAGGTGACGAGCAAGAAGATCATTTTCTCCAAGAAAGGATTCGGGCAATTCATCCTGGAAATGAAAATATTCCCAAATAGCGATTTTGTCAATGATTACAGAAAGGAAGACTTCCCAGTATCCGTCCCATTGAGGAAACGTTTGTTTGTGAAGGTCAGCGTCGATACAGACGACGAGAGGCTTGAGATTATGGCAGAGACATGCTTTGCCACGCCTGATCCCGATCCCAATAAACCTGCATTGAAATATATGTTCATCGAAGACGGGTATGGGCGTATTTTATGTTAATTTTATTGACAAAAAACGTTTATCTAGAGCTGATAGGCAACAAAATTTGCGCCATGTATTTGCCTACATCAACAAAGTTATAACGATTTTGTTTTTGTTCTTTTGTGCAAGCGCGCCAACGATGTATTTGAGTGTTGATAAAGACCGGTCGTTACTTATCGCCGGGGGGGGGGGGGGGGAGTGGAGTGCGGCTAGGCTAGGAGGATTACGGTTATGTCAAGAATAGAATTTACCTGATCCCCCAAAATGCTCTGTAATATTCTCAGGCCCCCCTTTGTCATTGGAAGTTTATTGGTGGCCAATATATATATTCTGTTTACTCTGTTTGCGAAGACTGATCCCCCCTGAATCCCCGTTCCCCTTGAAAACAATGTGATCTCCCCAAATTCCTTTGCCTCCTCTCCTCTCCCCACCCCTGTGGCGATAATAATGACTGGTCCCTAATGTCAACCGTCTTAACGTGACAACACATCCCATTTCATTGTCGCAACGCATCGCTTGCTGTTGTCTGCATATTTCAAACTTTCTTGCCTTTTTTTTCCAGGTGCGCAACAGACGAGACCGTGGAATACATTTCATCAGACGATCAGCGAAACAAAAAGTTTAGCCTGGAAGCGTTCAAGTTCTTAGGCGAACATGAATTTGTGTACATGCACTGCAAAGTCAAGATATGTAACGCAAATGATCCAACCTCACGCTGCGCACAAGGCTGTCTGTCTGACAGACAAAAGAGGTCCTTGTATGCTGAGGAAAACGATGACGAAGAGTATCTATTGGCCCAAGGACCTTTCATGCGTAAGGAAGAATTCAACGAGGAATCAGTTTTACAAGATACTAAAGAACTACACGACATGAATATCAAAGGTGAGGCACAACAGAAAACCAAGACAAGGCGGTCCAAGGGCTTGTTATAAATGTTTCTATCCTTGCTTCTAATTTGCTTTTAAAGAGTATCCAGAAACTACTTGGTAATAACTCGGTGGTCAAATGTTTGCGCTTGTGCAAAAGTTGTCAGGACTAGGTTGCGTGCTTTCAAAGTTTCAGAACCAAGTTATCTCACAAAAGTTACAGAAAACTACACAAGTAAGAAAGTTACGGTGTTTTTAACGCGTATATTCTTTTCGGTAAAGCTCAAAACGGAATGGTAAATCATTACGAAAACCATAAATAAGTATGCTTCGCACTCGAAAGGTCTCGTGTTTTCCATTTCCCAACTTCTGTTTCTTTTTACAGATTCCCATAAACCATTTAGATTTTCCTTTGGTTATTTGCAAGATAAGGCTTATGTCTTCTGTTAGTGCTTATTTTCGTCGGGAAACAGGCGCGAAGCCGACCAGATTGATCTCCACGCGCATGCCTGACGTTCGTGGTAATAATCTTAAATGAAAGCCTTTTTGTCCAATACATGAATTCTCTAATACCTGACAGTATGTGAATGTATTTACTTATTGCAGCTGCTGAGAAGAGCAGTCCTTTTGTCATTGCTTCCACCATGACGAGTGTGCTATGCATGATGGGAATGTCATATATGCTGTGGTACAAGAAATCGCGAGCTCATCAGGGCTACACTCCTGTACAAGTGAAAGCAGATTAAATATGTCATCGTTCGGTTTATTGATTACTTCTATTTTGTTTCAAAATCCACTGCGAAATTCTATTGAATTTAGATACTTTTGGATTCATGACTTTCGTTTTTAGATTTAGTTAATCTTTCTATGCAGCAATTGCGCTCATACTTTTGTGTACTTACTACCAATTGCAATATTTTCAAAATTTGCATTCAGTATTTAACTCGGTAGGACTTCCCTGACAATTACCTTGTTAAATTGGAACACCCTTCACCCTGAAGGGTACACTCCCATTTATTTTATTATCTGGCATACCTGATTAAGATGTTCAACACACCTAACTAGTCCTTTAAACACGAAGGCGCGCTATATAAGGAAGTCTTCCCTGGGAAGACCTAGGCTCATTTGTCACTCACCGTTGACGTGTGCGGGTCAAATTCAAATGCTGGTAGACGAACAAAAGGAGCTAATGAGATATCTATTGTTTACTTCCACCAGCATGGTGGCATGAGGTAACGTGCAAATCACCTACTTCGATCTCAAATTTACCTCCAAAAATAAAGATAGTTTCCATTGGAGAAAGGAAATACAAATCTCAAAAATTCTTGTATTATGATGAAGACATAAAACAATTTTGAGGAATGCGCCCACTGTTCACTGCTTTGGAGTAGCTGTAGCTCAAGCTGACTGAACTCTAAGAGTTCTGCATCACACGACGGTTGATTTACAAATGGTCCAGTGGGACCTAAGGCTCCTTTTATAGCGCGCCTTCGTGTTTAAGTTTGGTTGACCCTAAGTGACAAAACATGGGTTGTCCACGTCAGCTTATTTCACGATACAGTTCGTTGTTTGAAGTCCCCCTGGGATCTCCGAGAGCGGGAGGGCCTTGAAGTAACCGAGGAGGAAAAGAAATAGCCTGGAAAAAGAGAATCCATCACTTAGTTAGTCCTCCGTTGATTCAACTTTATGGCATTCTACACCCCAGCAGTGCGGGAAAGAAATAAAAAGCTCTTTCCCTGGTGGATTTTCAATTGAAAAGACTTCGTTCAGTGGAGCAACGACGAAAGAGTGGTAAACCGTCTAGTATTATGACAGTAGTTTAGTATCAAATATCTAACCATCATACTGAGAAGCAAGTCATGAAAGTTATCATAAAAAAAAAATTAGATATTCCATTATCTTATCAAAATGGATTCTTGTCACTAGTGTGCAAATTCAGCAGATTTGGTAAATAAAGGAAATTTACTATGTCTTAGGAGTTAATGTTTTGTCCTTAGAAGAATGAGGTCGAGTTTGAATGTTTATGGATTATTGTGCGAGACGCAGAAGCTAAATAGTTACGGCAATTAATTACTAAGAGAGAGGCATGGGTCCAAAGCTGAGGCCAAGTCAGCGTGACTGCATTTCTGGACCAGAATCTTTCAGCGATTCTCTTCATCCAGGATTCATTATTATCCCCGCAAAATGCACACGAGTCGGTCACGTTTAGTGCAAATTGACATAAAACAATGATTAATTTAAGCTCATCGACGACAGCTTCTTGATTCTTTTCCTAAAAATTTGATGGGATAAAGTACAATTAGGCACGAAAATCAGCCTCAGCGGGAAAGTTTTGCAAATTGCATGCAGCTAAACGTTCAAAATATAACAAAAAAAACAAGAGCGAATACACCTTTTTCAAGTACCTACGAAACTGTATCGGAAAGGACGAAGAAAACAGTTCTGGATAAATGGAGACCAATAGTTGAAAAAGGATAAAAAAAACAAAAACAAAAAAAAAACAATAAAAAAAAAAGGAAAAACCAGCGGGAATGATAATGTACTTACAATCAAAATTATATAAAGATTGTTATTAAAGATAACAAACATACGAGAAACTTGAGGAGCACATGACTTCTTCATCGCTAGATCTGAATTTCAATTTTTCGATCATTCCGTGATACTATGATTATTTCCAATATTTTCAATTTTTTACATCACCACCTACATAAACGTATATTGATACTGTAAAAAAGAGTTCCCCATGAGATCACTCTTGGAAGCTAGTAGACCACGGAGTTAAAGGAGAATAGTCACTTGGGAAAGTAGGTGGAAGCGACCAGCTTAAAGTTATGCCATGGTTCCGGTGTCTCATTTCCGTGATTTCGTCCCAGCAATCCAGATTTTACTATCCTGCTTACCAGATTTCTCTCGTCCCAAACTATGAGAAGTCTCGCCATTTCCAGCCTTTGAAGCAGAAGTCATTGCTTCAATTCGCCATAAACATTTCACAGTTTCCAAATTTTAAAATAATTTGGGTATCCACACTGAGAAAATGAAGATTCTGTTTATGGTCCAGGAATAACTGTAGGAGGAGATAATGTCGAAACTCCCAGTTAAGCGGGTAAACAGAACAATCGAGGCTGACTCCCTTCACTTGGCCCTAGCGATGTGGATGGAAATGTTCCCAGATGACACTGAGGAAGAGCTCACCTCAGCAAATAGCGAGGCGCAGTCGACGAAAGCTGGTACAAAAACTCCCGCAACAACACAGATATTCCGTAAGGTTGGTTGTGCCCTTGTGGAAGGCAATGGCCACCTTATTGCGATTGATCGCAGCCGTGATGGGGTACATGGATTGGCCGGTTTGCTGGTGAAACATCACGACAGTGCTAAGGGTTGCAGTGTCTTTATCTCAAGAAAACCCTGTACCTATTGTGCTAAACTCTCCTTGAGGGCAGGCGTGACTAAAGTGTCGTATCCGCCGGTCGAACCCGAATATCACGAGACGAGGAAGGAAGAAAGTCGAGTGGAGGCTCTCTTTGATGCCGCCCAAATCGTTCAAAGTGTTTTTGTTCCCCAGTTAAAGAAGGAATTAGTAACAACGGTCGAAGAAGAGTTATCCGCTAAAGCAACATCTCTCAGTGATATTCCTGACTTTGTTGAAAAGTTTTCTAACAGATTTTGGAATGACGAATACGCGAAGCGTGTCATCGAGGGCCCCTTCCAACAAGCGAAACACGATCTCGAAAACCTTTCGAAATGGTTGGCACAAATTTATCTTCCTTTGAAACATTCTAAGTTTCAACTTGCTACCCAACACATGGCAATTCCTTCGGAGAAAGTAACAAATACGTTTGATCCCGAAAATGATTTACGCCAGCGACAAATTGCAAATCATATTCTGGCGTTGGCAGGAATGACAGTGCAGCACACTGTGGAGCCGAAAACAGGGGTCGGCTGTGTCATCATGAAGAACAATGATATAGTAGCAGTTGCTTGGAATGATTTTCCTTCTAAATCGATCGAGGAAAGTTTTCATTATGCAACGGATCAAGAGAGAGACACGAAATATCCTTTCTTCATTCACGCAGAACAAAACGCTCTTCTCGGGTGTAACGCAACAGATGTCACGGGGAGTGTAATTTTTGTCACGAAAATTCCCTGTCACGAGTGCACCCCTCTGGTGAAGGTTGCTGGGATAGAAACAGTGGTGTTATCAACACCACTTCAATCAGTTCAAGAAAAGTACCGCCTGAATTATGACATTTTTCGAGAGGAGGTAGAGAGAGGAACTTTTCTTTGCTTTGAAACAGTAACAGGGAACGTATCCTAGGAACCTAAATTTAATTAGAGAACTGTCCCAGACGGTCGTAGTTTAGCTTACATAACAGGAGCTTCTTGAGCCGAGCGCAAAGCGGGAGACATTAAGTGCGTAGCGCGAGATGCGACCGCGGGGCATAAGACGACGGAAAGAGAAACGGTAACCAGTTACTTTTTTTCGCAGCTCGCGCTACTCGCTTGATGTCACACACTTCGCGCTCCGCTAAATAAGAGCCTGTTATGCAGGCTAATCACAGTTTTCAGGCGGTATTTATCACTTTTTTGGTCGACCGAAATAAGAATCAAGTTCGATAATTGACAAGTTCGAAGTTTGAATTGGGCCTAACTTGAACCACCCGTTAATTTACGCGGTTCACTGTGTTGCAGACACTACTTGGGAGCAGAAGAGAATAAAAAGAATAACCTTTATCCTAATTCTTCGATCTTAATCTATTTCACAAGCGTGTTTTCCTCTTTACAGTACAGCTCGCAGTTCTCTTTGGAAGTTACCTCAATCCCCGTCTACTAATGAGCTTTCGCGACCTAATGCTGGAAAGTCCAGCTGTACGTGCACGTGGGAATGTTTTTAACCCTTAACTCCCAGGAGAGACCGAGACAGAATGCCTCTCTTCAATATCGATATTATATCAAGAAGACAAGTGATTACTGAGATTAAAGAAAAATATCAATTAAGGAATCATAAATTGATTTAATATCAAACTCTCCTCACTAACATCATGACAATTGTATAACAGACAGTAAGGAGAATTAATTTGGATATATCAACAAAGTTGAAATGGTAAATTGGCCACCGTAACGATTACAAAAGCTGACGTTTCGAGCGTTAGCCCTTCGTCGGAGCGAATAGAGGAATTGTGGGTTGTGTGTGCTTTTAAAGGCAGAAAATGGAGCTACGTTATTGGTGGGAACATGGCAACGAGAAAAACA